GCTTTTGTAGCGACAATAGCGAAAAGCGCCTCCACGAATAGATCAGACGGGAAGGAAAAGAAAAAGCATTTGGGTCAGTGTCGTTCCTTCCTGTCTTGTCGATACTTCCGGCGTTCTCACTGTTGATTGAATGTTCCGCTTTGTAAGCTTTATACCGGGTCCGGATCCAAAGTCATCATCGGTGACTCAAAGATAATCATTTCACAGACCTATATCCCGGATCCTTTTTAACCTAGCATCAGGGATAGAGAAAACTTGGGAGGTCGCTATGGGAGAAGGTAACTGTATCATTTCGACTTGACGGAATACTGAAACCATCCCTTCATAGTTATAACAAGAACGCCTACACACCTACGCAAGAAAGATGACAGCACGTTTCATTATTGCAATTATACAGTCCTTTAACAAACAAAAAACTACCTTCTCCGAGCTCAACGTCGTCAGAATCATTTCATAACAGCATGGTCAGTGGTCACCAGCCTTGAAAGTGTGCAGGTCTGCAGGAAAACCGACTGCCTATCCTGGTACGCCGCGCATAACAATCGTGCAGAGGTCAACAAAAACTTGCAATACTTTATGACAGCTACAGTCGCACATATGCCGCCATTTCAGTGACGCCTATGGGCAGGTCTCTATGGAACAAAGGGAGAGAGAATGAGATAAGGGTTATCATTGGCAGTTTATAAGCGATCCAGAGGAAGTGTATTCAACTGCACAAGTGGCCATATCCTGCATAACGCGCTGACATGCAAGGAGTTCGCTGATAGCTCTTCATTTTCAGCTTCGTCACTGTTCAAGTGAAATAATCATGTTAACCCCAGCCTTCTCTATTCACCTTCCATTGAAACAGACTTGAAACAGATCCATCGAAACAGATTGAGAAATGGGACAGACTGAGAAGAAACAGGGTTCAACAGCAACGGGTCCAGGAGAGTGACCGGGTGGCAAAGCAGAGTCGGCATACGACATCCGTGTGTTGATGGATGCACGTTTTGGCGGTCATCCAGCAGCGGCCGTGCGGAGTGCCGTGGTCCTGCCGCGGGCCAAACAGGTGATGAATGTGTCCAAGGTCAAACAGGACGGCGCACATGGGGCTCACATTAGCTTGCTGGCTAACAAGGGTGTGGTGGTTTGCTAAGAAGGCACTAGCACTACAATGAACAAATAAGGCAGCTGTGGGAAGAAGCTTAGCTTGAATAGTTGAAAAAGTGGCTATTGGGTTACGGGAGGTCACTAAGCTGAACTTGTTGCGCAGTACTATAAAACCCAATGGCCACTGGTTTAGACAACTGATAGATAGATAACTGACAACTGATAGATAGATAGACAACTGAGTGAGAAAGCTAACGGGTTAGCTGGCCAGAGTGAGCATCAGAGCACCATGTAGGCCGGGAAACTGATTACACAGACGAGTCAGCATCAAACAACGCGATGCGCACCTGAAGGGTTGCGGACTGCGGTAATGGGTAGAAGACGGTTTCATAACTTGCTGTACTCTTGAACTTAAAATCTAACATAAATAAATAAATAAATAACTGCAAGTAACCTTGAAGCATATTCAGTTAAAACACAACATAAGTCGTAGGTCCAACGGGCCAGCCAGAACTATGGAAAGTTTCGACGACCGTCCGCCTCGTTCGAGCACCTCCTATGGGCCAAGCACGGTCCAACCAGTGCTTCGTATTCGTGAGGCCTCCCACGTTCGTGACGGACCGGTTCGTGATACCGCACGCTGCCGCACCTGCCACCGCTGGCGCTGACTAAGTGACGCGCGGCCATGGAGTTCCCCTGTTTGTCGATCACCAGCTGAAGCCACGCCAACGCTCACCGAGCCGATAACTGCCATTTTTTGGGGGTGTGAACGGAAAGGCATGCCCAGCTGGTAAACCCGACAGCGCTCGCTCAAAATATCGGCCGAACCTTCAGTACTTTCTGGTGAGAATGAGTTATGATTAGGTATGTTGAAGGCATTTCCTGCCATTTACCATGAAATCTTGCAACTTGCAAATGTGAGAAAAATCGTTTCCAAGTGTCTCCGCTTCTACAACCATCCGTGGGAATGAGCCGAAACATGTATGAAGCGTAACTAGTATGATTGTAGCCTGAACTTTGGAAGACACAATGCTACAGTTGCAAGGGCGAGCAAGCTAATGCTGTCTCTGCAAATTTACTGTTCTGAGTGTTTGACAGATGGTTTCATAAGGATGAGCTCAATCTTCTCCCGTAGGATTCAGTACCCTGCAATCCTGTTTTCCACAGGGAACCCGCCGGGTAACTACGCGAGTATGGAGATCCAAAACACACCACTCACTGCGGCTCTCCATCCACCTGCCAGCACCGTGCGGTGCGCACTTTCGGCAGACAAACAGCAAGGGATGAGCGGTCCACCCGGTGGCTACAGCAGGTCATAATTGCACACCTCTGCAGTCTGCATACGACGGCAGCTGCGGAGATGGTGTTTGCAGCGGCAGGCTAAGACGTGCTGGGAAGTGCTCGGGACGGATTGGGACGGGTCGGGACGGGCTCGAACGTGTTGAGACAGAATAGCAACAGCTAACAACATGCCACTGCGATTATGTTCTATAAACCATAAATAGTCTGATGTAGAGGTGGGATGAGGAAAGGGGAAGTCAGGGACGGGTCGAAACGGTCACAGGCCACAGGTTAGGTGTGGTCGAAACGAAACACGGAATCGGTCACACCAGAAAACCGGGTGTAGCCTTTCTGCCAGCAAAAATTGCGTTCAATAGGACACAGTCGTCTTTACCCCCCTTGCTTCTTACAAGGTGTTCGGTGCAAAATTACCTTTTAAATTATTTCACAGGAATACTATATGGTTAACTGTTCTGCATACCAATGAACGCGTGTTTAAATTGTTCTCCACCATATTGTTATCGGTGGAGACAAACCTACGAGAGGTGGTTAATAAGTCAAATAACAAATTTGTATGCCTTAATGACTTTACATGTTTCCAAAATACATAATGAAGCTACGGTTCCTTGGGTACAAAAGCCTTTGCACCAGACAAAAGAAATGAACTATGAGTTTCAGCCAACAAAACCGTTACGGTGCTTTTCATCCACAAAGGTTAGGTATGCTGGCCATTATGTGATGTAACGGGATAAAAGGAAAACAGACCAACTGAAATAAAACGTTCAGACTCACAATATCTTACTGAACGAGGTAAAATATGGCCGTCACGTCGTCATAAAATAAACCGTCATCATTCAAGTCATGAAATACGCCACCCAAGCCGTGAACTAAAGACACAGTCAGCAAAAGCTGACAAGGGTAGCGGTCATGGCTTCCTAGTCCCTAGGCAAGCTCCTTCGGTCATCTGCCTGCAAACGACCGGGCTCAATGAATAATTCAAACCGGCAGAGAGATCGATGCATTATTCATCAACTGAAAGAAAAACAAGCCCTGCTCGACTCCACACCAAACAGGCACGAACTGTAGTATTCCTAGCGGAATACCCCCGCTAATAGTCGAAACACCGGGGACACAGGCCACCTATTGCACATTGATAGCAACTCTTCTAGCCACAATCACAAGGGCCAGAAACAGTGTTCGCCACGGGCCGCAAAATCCCAGTCCAGCCCAGCCCAGGCCCATGGGTTCACAGCCCGGCCCAGCCCGAGCCCATTCATGGTAAAAGCGTCACAGCCCAGCCCGGCCAGGCCCGTCAAAACAAATGAATGAAAAATTATTGACACCACACAGGCATCCGAAGGTAGCCAAACAATCTTTTGCGAGCAGCATGCACATTGCACAATGCACATTGCATGCGTGCTTTATTATCTCGTTTTTTAGTCATGTACAGTAATAAGCTATGTAGTTATAGTTCTTGTCTCAGTTGCGAACCACTGACTCCACTTCACAGTTCTTGGCCCAGCCCATCCACAGCCCATCGATCCTTAATATTTGAGGGCCCAGCCCAGCCCGTAGCCCAGCCCAGCCCATAGCCCATTGGGCTGGCCCGGCCCATGGCGAACACTGGCCAGAAACCATATTATCCTGTAACTAGATGTTTAGGTATGTACATAAACAGTTAGGATGTTATGTTGATGACAAAGGTCTGGAAAGACCAAGCTAATAGACAGTAACAGGTGGCTATTGCAGCATTTCAGTCCAGTTATCTGCCTACATTAAATAAGTATGATGCAGTACTCAGTCGAGAATGACGCACTGACATAACGCTATCCGAATGAGGTAAAAAGACGGGTTGACTGATAAAAAGCCCACAGTGCCACACGAAATGTCGAGCGAAGGCTACTCATGATCACTTTTTACCAGAAGCCAAACAGCAAATGGTCACTGCGGTACCATTGCCAGTCGCGTGAGTTCCGTTTCTGTCCGTTGCCCGAACGAAAATAACTACAAGCAGAACAAGGCCAGATTGCATCGTGTATGTGAACAATGCTAATGGATGTGGCCGGACTAATGAGGCCATTACTCATCGCAGGAGACTCGGCCATCGCAAATCATCTGATAAACACTGCGAGAAAATGAGGTATGTGTTGCTAGGCGCATCAATCAAAAGGTATTCGTCCACGGTCCAAATATGGTTTATCGACGAGATGCACAAAATGGAAAACCTACCCCCATAAACAGGAGTAAGCGCTTGGAGACAGGAAATTTCACGAAGCACCAACGATCAAAGTTCAGAAGCCAGGAAGCATTTCCAGTGCGATTGACCTAGCATAGTTGTCGACCAAATTCTTCAGTGAATTTTAGAGCGTCTTGGTGTGTCCGGCAGAGGTTGAAAGGCTGGAAAGGCACCCATCTAGCATTCAAGCACGAAGCGGAGCACCCAGACCCAGGGCATATTTTAGCCAACTTTCTCTCGCAATGGGTGCATCAAAAAGAAGACCAAAGAAAGTCGCTTAAGTGCATTTAGAAAAGCATACAGCATCGGATAACGAGAGTCAATAAATCATTGATCCTTATGAAGGCACCTGCAAGAACTTAGCTTTGAAAAAAAAGAATAAAAACATAAACGCAGAAGGTATCACTTGTATTGTCATTTACCACAAAATTTACCAAAAAATACACGTCAGCACGCTAAACGGAGCCGGCCGATACACACACAAAAACATCACACGAGCATTGCACGGCCACAGACCGTTCCACAGTGGACCAACAGTTGACACAGTAGCGGGGTACCCGACGACCAACCGGGCCCATCAAGGTGACCCAGCCCCACAACCGCACGGCGGTAAAAACTACATCATAATGAGTGTCAACAACGGCGAAAGGAAATATTGGGATCAGCGGGACCAGCTTGTTCAAAACCATGATCCCCGCCTCATGAGAAGTGTGTGAAATGTGAATTACCGAACTGTGTGTTTAAATGGGTATTGTAAAAAACACAGAGTCAGACAACTATTGATACAAGCTGTCAAGTAAAGCATTGGATGACTACCGCCTGCAGCACAAGTCTTCATATGTTCAGTATGCAGGCACTACATGAAAAAAATCATGCAATCACGACGCTCAAAATACAGCAAGAGCGTATCGGTAGGATGGGGTCAGCAAACCAGCGAACATTTCTCACACCTCACAATAACTTCTCGGCCACGCGAAAGTCAGATACCATTCACTTATGAGCACACTCAGAACACAAAATGTCAAGTACAGTCGTCACACAACACTTTGTAAAAAGTCCAGCGAATTTAGCCAACACTCGCCATCCAGTTAAAACTGGTCACCATTATAGCGTCCCAGTCACAGAGTCTCACGCGACGTTTTACTGGCTCACGGCCAAGCGCGCCGCGCTCTACCCGAGAAACGAAGGTCCGGGCCGGATCTCTCTCCGGCAGCCACCGTCGGGTGCTTCCACGAAGCCCGGCGAGCAGGGTCCTCGTCTGAAGGTGAGCGCCCCGCCGCCCGCCCTGATGGTCCGCTTGCAGCGACCGCCCTGCGAGCGGCGACTTCCGACCGCGCACGGCACCGACGGTGTTGAGAACACAGAGTTGGCGACGACGTCGTTGCAGACCAGTCGCAGTGTGGCGGGTTCGACCTCCATCCTGCCGTGAGGGCACGGCGCGTCGCTGGTGTCGAAGAGCGGGTGACAGCGGCCCGTCTCTGGCCAGCGCGCCCAGCCGTCGCGGCCGCACGGGTTGGCGACGCACACCGCCTCTTCGGCGTCCACGGTCAACTGCTGACCTTCGGCGCAGGGTCCGCGCAGGTAGGCCATGTAGCAGCGCTGCTCGGCCGGCCAGAACACGCGGCCCTTGCGGCAGTCGCACCAGGCGTCTCCAAACTCGTTCACCTGCAGCACCATGCCGGGCGCGCACACGGACCGCGAGTCGCTCAGGTTCTGACACGCGCCGTCCAGCATCGCCTGACCGAGCGGGCACGGGTAAGGTCGACAGGCAGCCACGCGCGTCTCACGGTCCAACACAAACCACTCTCCGCTCGGACAGCCGGATCGCATAGCCAGAGGCCGGCACTTGCCCGTTGACGGGTCCCGCGCATAGAACTGGACTCCGTCACACTCAGGAACCAACGGCAACTCCTTCTCCAACACCCCTTCCTGCTTCTTCTCCGGTGAAATTTTCAGCGTGATCTCATCCCTGGTCTCCACCAGATTCGCCAGGGTTGTATCAGTGCGACCCTCCACAGGATTCTCGGGTACTGGCTCTGCTACCGTCCGCTCCGTGGTAGTTGTTGTTCGAGGCGCCCATGGCAGCTCATGTCCCTCCTGGCCGGGAAATATAATAGCCGATGACGACACTGTTGACCTTCTCCTCCCGGCGAAGGCTCTGCGCGCCGGTTTGGTCTCCTCAGTGATCGAACGGCGAGGAGGCGGCGGAACTTCCAGTCGCTCCAAACGGCGGAACCGCGGCGAGAAGCCCAGTCCGTCGCGTCGCTCCTGATCGCTGCTCCCCCTCCTTGACGAAACGGACGTCCGCGTGGTGCGCGTCGGAAACCGACGGAACACAGCGCCCAGCTGATCCTCCACGAACAGAATCGGTCCTCCGGAGCGCGGCATGGCGTTCACGCTACCCTCCAGCACCAGCACCAGTACCAGCAGCACCAGCAGCACCAGCTGCAGCAGCACGGCTCGGCCGGCCATCGCTACAGCCCTAGAGCGGCACTCGACCCCACCGTCCGGCAGCAGCACCTCTCGAGCTCTGAGCGGCCGCCGCTCCCGTCCCGGCCGCTGCACCGAGCGGAGTGCGGCGGGCCAGCCAATGGCCGGCACGGCCGGCGCGGCGTCACAGCCGAGCACCGCAGTGCCCTATACTGCCGCTACCGGCCGCATCGGCACCGCTGACGTCACAGACTGCAGCTGATCGAGGTGGGGCAATAGATTATAGAGAGGTAAGCTGGTAAGGTATGCATTAGCTATTGCTCAGAGAATGATAAAAATGGGTGCTATAGCAAGGATTTTTGAACCTTTTTGAACATCATAGCTGAGAAAACATTATTAATTGCACGAATAAGACTGCTCGATTCCATTGATCTGCTGCTAAAAAAAAAAGAGATAAAAATATTCGTTGTTAGGAATAGAACGCACAAATGACATTCGTGCCACAATGAATTGTGTCAAGACACATCTATTGAGAACTTTGGGCCGCTGCTGCCATTTCAAGCACATATTTGAGGCACACGAAAACCTCACTATATTGCATGATTGACTGCCGGTTTACTATTCTCGACGTCACGGGCGTCTTATACAGAGGAATATAGGAAAGCCGCCCGTAGTACCTGGTGATATTGGTCACGCTAATATTGACCATATCGCATAAAAAAAAAATATTCACAAAGCAAAGACAATGGGCTTGGTTTGTAAGGCATAAAGTATCAGCCAAAGACTGGCCCCCTTTGTCACCCTAAGAAAAAAGATGGAGTGGCTGTTTTTATTTTGGTCCTTCAAAAGTATGGCTGATCTCTATCTACCACGTGTAACAAGAGCCAATCCTTTGCACCGTCAACCATTAAAACGGGTCGCAAATGCACCACTTATAAAGCTCATAAGAACACCCACATTGAAGACCATTATTACATCTCGTGATTCTAAGTCATGCATCTTCCCCTATCTCCATCACGTCCAGTCTTTAAAGCAAGCCATCACTGATGGCCAATGTCTGCTTCGTAGAAGGTGACGTCACTACAACTTCGAAAATATTACGTTCTCAAATGACTTATTACCTAATGGCTGGTAATCATGAAACTGAAAAGCTCACAGCCCAGGCCACCAGGGGCAAGAGCCGATAACCGAACTGCAAAACCACAGGCAGGCGAGGGCATCAAATAAAAATATGACGGCAACGCCGCAGCAGTCACACAGCAAAATAAATGACGCGTCTTGCTTCATAAATCATGTTCATGGTAAAAGCAACACATCAAGGACATTTCGCCAGGTGATAATGACTACTCATGGAAACAGCATTTGTGATGCAGGCGTGCAATATATCATCGTCTACCAACAACACCCACATTGATGCAGGTCAAATTTTTGCAGTTCACACATTCAAGGCACTGGCAACACACCTGCCTATGCATAATATTTATTGTTATTATGTGTGTGCTTCGGTTGCAAACCGATTTAAAGCACGATGAATAGCCATGCCGCTGTATAAGTAGTTCCGCCTCGTATTCCTGGAAAGTTTTCGTTTCCAGGCAAATGCTACGTTTTTGCATTGAATGCATACATACCTACAGCAGGACCATGAACTATTACATCACTGATAGAGCATCGTATAAAACCCGTGATAATTTTTACCCGAGTTTTGATGTCATACGCCCTTGCCGGTATAAAGTATTGCAAGAAGATCATGGTTTGATATTTGGGGCAGTTTGAATCACAAAAAAGTGTCGTACTTGTCGCGAGGAAGCAACACCATCGCAGTGGAACAAAGCATTTCAATCGCGTGAGCAAGGCGCGTTGGATATTCCCTGGCCTTTTTACAGCCCAACATAGGACGATAGTGCGGTGTGGTCAGCGGAATTTGGCGCTCCCGGATACTCACAACAGCTTCAAAGCACCCCACCTATGAAATATTGCAACCTCCCCATACACTTATCTAATTCTCCTAGACAAAACATAAATGTCGAAAATTCGCTGTCACATTTTGTTAACAAATGTCAGCGAAAAATGTAAAATATAATACAGGATTTGTGGTTTTTACATATAAAAAACGTTCAATTAAATAACAAGTTCAATGAGCAGTAACCTGGCTGGTAGACGGAATTACAAGACAGGGAAAATTCAAAGAGCATCGGTCTGAAAGAAGCCCTGCCTCGAAAGATGCCTCGAAAGATGTCTCGAAAGATTCCTCACATAATTCCCGACCATAGACCTCAGTTGTCAGCATGCAGAGGTCCCTGTCTCAACATATTTCAGATTTTAAATATGCCGCCGTGTCAAAGCCGTATGATGAAACTACAGCCGATTTTGAACTTTTGAAAAATGAAACGGCCAACCAACAAAAAAGTACCTAAACGTTACGGAGAAGCAGCCTGCACACAGTTAAATAATCCCTAAAGGCTCTTCCGAGTCCGACCACCACCGGTCTTTTTACTGGCTCCAAACTGTCTGACAGGCGGCTCCTCAGAAGTGGCGCACCCATGTTCAACAATGGTCTGTCGGGGGCGGGGGGACGGTGACCGATGGGGCGGTTCGCGGGTCATTGTGGACAGCCAGAAGGTGCAGGGAGCTGCAGCGTGGTCAGGCTGGGCCCAGGTGGACATCATGCATCAGCCGCAGCCAACCAGGAGCGCAGTGTGACGCTAGGAAGGCTTTGAATAGACGGGAACAGTGAATAGCACTTGACATCAGGAAATAAAACAGCAGTGAATGACATGTTTACCATCGAACTGGTCCTTCTGAACAATTGAACGTCAGTTGGATGGCATCAGTCATCACCGAATAAACCCGGGCCTCAGAGCAGCTAGCCTCAGTCAAGAAAAGAGCAGTGTAGCCTGCAAAAGGCACTTATGCATGGGTGGAGAACCTGCCCCGGCCACCCCGGCCGTGGCCGGGGTAACTTTCAGCCTACCCCGGCGCGGCCGGGGTAACTTTTCTACTCTTGTAAATCCTAAAAGCTGTCTCCATACGAGAAAAGAAAACTCATGCTCTTCGAATGTTGACTTCCATGGGCGTAATATTGCAAATCAGGTAGGTATTTACCATTTACTTAACTTGCCATAATCTCCAACCCTAAGACCCGCGTGTGGTCGCCAATGCCAAGATTGCTCTCAAATCCTGTTCAGTTTCGAAATTTTGGCGCGCCTTCGGCGCACTTTTTCAAAATTACTGCTTGACCTCATTGCCTCCAACTGACCTGCCACCAACCGCAACCACACCCGTTTATGAGCGTACCCGTCAGGGTGCTCATAAACACCGAGCGGCCATCATGCTTCGAACTCGGACTGTTTAACCGGGCCGCGTGCTCTCGCCACGCGGAATCCAACGCTCTAGCAACTGAGCTACGAGACCGGGACCGGTCGATATTCCTGGATCGACTCCCTGTTTGTATTATAAGAGCCGCCCAACATTGAAAAAGGCTACGCCCGTGGATGTCAGTGACCTATTTTAGTGCTTTGCTTGGTTCGATCTGTCAATTTCTCTGTAAAGCTTCTACTATGGTGAGTTGTCTTTTTGTAGCTATTTTGAGACACAATAAAAAGCTGAAAACGCAACATTTAGGTACTCAAAATGGCATATGGTTTGGTTTGGGTTCGGTGTGAAATTGGAAGTTTAAGTAAAAAGAAATAATAATTTAAAAGGAAATTGCCTTTTCGATCATTCCAAAAATGTTATGAATAATACGGTGTCGGATACAACGCTCATCCTTGAGCAAACACAGCACCCTATTCCATGCGTCAGAATAGGGGTTTGATGATGACCGTTGAGAACAACGTGAGTATATCGTCTTCCCGCGACTATCGGTCGCCGGCCGGGGTAACTTTTTCAAACATTCTCCACCCATGCACTTATGTGTCTGTCATAAGAGCGAACATCTGACCAACAGCTGGCGGAGGCCTGTCTACCGCACGGAGGAGAAGAAATCTTATATGGTGTATGATGTACGTCTTCGTATATCATAGACGTACAATACAATACATAGACGTACATAACAACTTCGTATACAAGACGTACAATGTACATCATATCTCGTATATGATGTACGTCTTCGTATCGTTAGCCGAAGCAAAGAATCTGTTTCTCCCCAGGCTTCCAGCACGTCGCGACTGCCTACAGCAGCCGACTAGTGGTATGCACGGTATATAGAGAACTAGGTAAAACCGGTTCGAAATTACAACACTAAGGTATTTTGACCACTATTTTCAGCTGACCTTTTAAGTCTAAAAAAGAGAACTAAGCAACAGATTTCAATAAGTTTTATAGTTTGTTACGGAGCGAGCGAAGCGAGCGTAGTCTTTCCTTAGATTAACAGAAATTTCTGAGTATGAGCGGCCGGCCGGCCGGCCGGCCGGCCGGCCGGCCGGCCGGCCGGCCGTGGTCACGCTTTTGCGAGGCTTATATCTCAGCAACCACTTGACCGATTTACACGCGGTAATTTTTGTAGGGTAGCTTCATTCCTTCTACCAAGTATTGGACTATTCCCGATGCATGTGGGTGACCCCTTATGCACGTGCCACGTGCAAAACGAAGTAGTGTCACTTTTGTAATTGTTGCAATATCTCGGTAACTACTTGGCCGATTGCGCTGAAAGTTGGCATGTAGGTAGGCACCCACTAGGCACTGCATATACATGTGCCAGAGTTGGGGTGCTGCCGCACGTGCGCACGTGCAGGGGTCGTTTCCAGATCTCGAGAACGGCTGGACCGATTGCGCTCAAATTTGGTACACGGTTAGGGACCGGTTAGTAGGGTGCCGTGCACAAGTCAGTTGGGACCCATTTTGCACGTGCGCACGTGCAGGGTGCCGCTTCCAGATCTCGAGAACGGCTGGGCCGATTGTGCCCAAATTTGGCACATCGCTAGAGACCAGTTAGTAGGGTGCCGTGCACAAGTCAGTTGGAGGTACCCCCTCGCAATTTCGCACGTGCAAGGCCCACCCTCTCGCTCGCTCCGTTAGTCGCCCCAAAAGGCGTTATACTGGTATATATATTTTTGATTTATGACCACAGAGCACGTCATGTATGAACCTGTGAAGTATTAACGAAAATAAATTGTTGGTTATCTCCGCCATTTCAAAAATTA